CACACACACACACACACACACACACACACACACACACACAACACTTACTTTGTGCAGACTTTGGATCAACAGGTTACCTTAAAGAAAACGAAAACCTTCGCTGCTGACTTACAGGTAAGATGTGAAGACGCTCAGGTTGCTCGGTATCTCCCGGAGGCCCAGGTCCGAACAGTCCACCCAGTGCAGCAGCCCGTCCACCTCACACCGGCAGCGGCCAGGGCAGCTGGTCCGCCCCGCTTCCCCGACCTCGTCCCCGGAGCTGTTCAACCCAGCTGCAGCGCTCTGCACCGCGGGCACGGCGGAGCTCCGCATCTCCAGCTCAGCCCCGGCGCTCCTGAAGCCCACCGAGAGCAGCGCAAAGGCGGCTAGGACAGGCACAAACCCTAGCATGTTCTGCGTGGTCTGTCCCCGCAGGGTGAAAGTTTAAGTCAGAAGTGATGTGGAAATATAAAGTTGCAGCCTGGGATCCGGATCACGTTGTGGTGGTTTTTGGTCCCTACTCACCAGAGGCAAACTGGAAACCGCTCAGTTTTAACTTCCTCTGATCCGGATGTAAAGTGGAGCACAAAGAGGATTTGAAGAGTGGAATAAAAGTGCAGGTTGTCTGAAGTTTGGTCGCTTTCCAGGCTGAACGCGTGGAGCTGCACAGCCAGAGTGTGCGTGTGTGTGTCCCTCCACTCACTCTACAGGAGTGTGTAAACCGTGGTTCACTTTATATAGGCGGTGTGTCTCTGCTTCAGCGTGTGCCGTGATTTTTAATAGCAGCAGTGAAAAAACAAGTAAATATTAAAATCCACAGAGCATGTCCCTCATTATTTATGTCACATGCATGTCCCCCCCAATAAAAACGTACAGGAGAGGATTAACTTCAATTTCCTTCACATAAAAAAGTAATTTCCACCACAAATTGATATAGGACATTTATTATCTACTTTTTATTTACTTTAGTATTTATTCTTATTATTTCTACTGTTTTAACTATTGTTTAGTAGCATGCTTCTTATAACAAGACCTAGGAAACTTCCTCACACCCATAATCGGTCGCTGAGCCTGGCTCTGCCAGAGGTTTCTTCCCATTAAAAGTAAGTTTTTCCTTCCCTCTGTCAGCAAAGTGCTTGCTCATCGGGCTCTTCATTTTGTTGTTGGGGATTTCTCTCTGTTATTGTAGGGTCTTTACAATATAAAGCAATTCGACGCAACTGATGTTATGATTTGGTGCTATATAAATAAAACTCAATTAAACCGAATCCTTTCAAATGGTTTAATGAAGCTGAGTCTGTTAAAAATTAGAGTCTGAGGTTTAAATTTTCCTCAGAAAGGACCCCAAAATCCATCTGATTAGTGCATCCTTCCAAGTGCTGTAAGGAAACCTGCACTCACATTTGAAACTCACTTCTTATAAGCTGTGGAAACATGAAAGACATTTAAAGAATTTCATGCATTTTATGCATAAACTTGCAGGGTTTTTTTTAAATGATGTTGATAATGAGCTGAACCATCTTCTCCATCTCTTTGCTCTTGGCCTGCAGTCCCACCAACAAGCCTAGCTTGTTCGCTCTGCAACAGAGTGCCGACCTGTTTAGTTGTCGTCGTCCCCCCCCCAACAGCTATTTGTCTCATAGCTGATGTTGATATGCTTATTTATTGTAGCTATTTTTTCTCTTTTACATTCCATTGAAACAAAACATAACTATAACAAATAACTTAACAGTGCTAATGTTTTTCAGCTGTTAATCACAGTATTTTTTTAACCTGTCTGCAAAAAATTAGGGGTGCACAAAACAGTCTCAGCAAGTAATCTTGTTATTCATATTCCAGAGCCCTGTGCTACAAAGCAAGCTCATCATAGCCAGCATAGCTTTCATTACCTTCACTTAACCTGATATCAGCAATCAGGCTCAGAGGTCACATGTCAACTCTATAAGTCAGCCCAGGTTTCAATGGTCAAGCTACAAGAAAGGGGTGGTGCTGGCAGCACCTGACCAATCACAAAGAGGGATAAATGTGCTGGCAGCAGAGCAAAGAAGAGAAAAGTACAGTATTAGAATAATATGAAGCGATTATAAACGCAATACAGACGGAAAGTAACACAGCTGCTGGCAAATAAGCTGTATGAGTATTAGTAACAGGAAAAGCACCAAATGGCAGTTTAGTACTTAAAATGCTGTATGAACATGTGCACACTAAAACTGGAAAAATATTAGTATTTGAAGCCAAAGAAAGCTGACAGTACATGTTAACATGTAGCAGCCCTGTTATTACAAATCATAAAATCTGATATGTTATAATTATTACCTCATTAAATTATTATTTAGATGTGCATATGGTAGTTTGTATTCTTTGAACTGTGGCTTTTAATGATCTGAGAGTAAAGATTAAACAGATTAAACATAAAAACTGAATTCAAATGTAGTGCAAATTTGATATAAGGTGAATAAAGTATAACGACATGTCCTGTTTTAGGATTAAAGATTAATCACATATTAAAGATTTCAGATAACATTATTATAAAAAAGAAATTGTAGTCAACAAGAAAAAACAAAAAAGTGAATAAAGTCACATCTGAGAATCTGTATTTCCTACTGATGCTCCTCTGGGAAAGACAGAGACTTAACATTAAAAAATGGCTTGACTTTAACTAATTCAATCACATGTAAAAGTTTCCATTTAATTTCATTCTATAAATACAATGTAAACATTTAATGGAATGTTTAGTATGTTTAGTATGCATTCACCTTATACTGAGCTCATTTAGTCTAAGTCATTGAATAATATATATATCATCCTGCTATTTGTGCACAGAGGTCTGAAGGATCTTCCGGGAATGGTGACACTATTTTCTGGAGTATCGATTAGCTTGTAGCCAGTGATTTCATACCTGTTGGTCTTTAAACTTGAATATATTATCTCTGGGCCCTTCATAATAAAGAACCACAGTTAAATTTCATGAACTGATTGTCCACTGATTCATATACACCAATGGAAGATTTTTGACTTTTAAAGGATGGAAAATAGTAGTTTTGGAGCTTTTGGTGAATTATTGAATCCCACATCAGGACAGGAGATTTTTTTTAATAAATAAAACTGTTCAGCTGTGATTAGAAAAGATGATGTTTGAATACTGGAATACACCATAATGAGGGTTTCAGGTATTTTGTATTTGGAGGTTTTTGGGGCACTTCACTCAGAACACGGGGGGCTAGAAAAAAAACCTTTTTTCTGCATGGAGAGGCTCAGGGAGGTCACAGCATTGTAATTAAAGTAATTAAACTCAGCCATAACAGACTGATTTCCTTTCTGATTTGCTGTCAGATTCTTTTCAGGTTGTTTTGCTTTTCATTTGTCTAATTTGTGTATTTTTTTATCTTCTTAGTCTCTTTCTTTTATTTTATATTTATTGGAGGGTGTTTGCTTTGATTTGTGTCTCTTTGTGGTCAATGCATCAATAATCCAGCTTTTTGAGTAAAAACATAAATTTCACATGTAATAAATTGGTTGAATGTTGTGATTTATTTCTTGTTTATTTTCTTCTTATATATACTCAACCATCTACATTATTAGGTAGACCTTTTCAGCTGCTTATAAACAGAAATATATGATTTACCATCACATCACAGCAGCTCAAAGCTTTTAGGCATAAAGACATGGTCAAGACGACCCACTGAAGCAGGCTACAGCAGCAGAAGGCCACACCAGGTGGTGCTTCTGTCAGCTAAGAACATGAAACTGAGACTACAGTTTTCACAGGTTGACAAAAACTGGAGACTAGAAGATGGAAAAATGTTGTCTGGTCTAGTAAGTCTCCAGTTCTGCTGCGACATTCAGGACGTAGGATCAGAATTTGGGGCAAGCAAGAGAGCATCCATCCTACCTTCTGTCAAAGGTCAGGCTGCTTTTAGTTTCCATCCCCTGAAGAGCAAAACAGTCCATCTAATGATGCTGCTTCTAGCAGAATAACGCACCATAGCACGAAGGTCAAATCATCTATAACTGGTTTCTTGAACAATGAGTTCACTGTACTCAAATATCCTCCACATCAGCAGATCTCAGTCAAACAGAGCACCTTTTGAGATTGGAGTTGGAATGGGAGATTCACTCATGGATGTGGAGCTGACAAATCTGCAGCAACTGTGTGATGCTGTCACATTTACAAGAACCAAAATCTCTGAGAAATGTTTCCAACATGAAGAATTAAAGCAGCTCTGAAGGCAAAAAAAAACAATCAAATCCAGCACTAGCAAGGTGTACCTAACAAAGTGGTCAGTAATCTGATGATATACTTGTTCAGTATATCCAGGCAGAGTAATGCTAGCCTGACTTTTAGGGATTCCTGGTAATTCAGCCTTCCATGAACCCTGAAATCAGAAAAGTCTGATCTCTCACATGTCCCCACAAGGCCTGAAAACAACTTAAGTCCTCACAAAGTCAGGTAAACCTGTACACTAATTTGATGTTAATGGTTAGCAGTTCTGAGATCCTGCTGCAAGTTTCAAGGAAATAAGACACAAAGAGGTGGGGGTGAGGTAAAGCTGACATACAATAGTTGTCACCACACACACACACACACACACACACACACACACACACACACACACACACACACACACACACACACACACACACACA